GAGGTTCAACCCTATATGCTTAGCAGAGGTCGTGGGTGTCACTTGTCCAAAACATTAACATTCCACAGGCACATCATTCAGTTTAAACTGTGACCTGGGGTTCAAAGAAACCTGCATATAGTCTTATTGCTGAATGTCAAGTCAAGTGAGCTGAATATGTGAACTATATTTATGTCACCTGGACTTCTGCTATGGAGAATATAACCCCTTCTCAATTTTCTTGATAATAAAGGGATGTATGAGTGCATGAAACTTCCATGCTTACCCCAGCTTGTGGGAATTATACATTGTTGCACACATTGCCTATGCACAGGGCTGCCACTGCTAGGCAGAGCTAAAAAAACAACAACAAACATTTAATGTAATTCAGACCACTGACAGAAGTTTGCACCTGTTATCGTGAGGAAGATCAATGAAGACAGCAACCTGAGAGTCATCGAAGAGACTTCATAACATTTGAAAGTTCACACCACAGTAACGTATGGGTGTTAGGTTGGAAGTAGGGCTGGGCGATATGGACCAAAAAGTCATATCCCGGTACTGTTGGGCAGAACTCCGGTAAAAAATATACCTGTATTTTTTGCTAAGTTGGCTGTGGGGAGGGTCGGTTTTAGGGGCCTGTTATTACTATTTGTAGGAGCTTATTTAACTGTCAGTCACTTATTCAATCTGCCTCCTTCAGTTCTCTTCACACTAGACCTAATGTACCTCTGCTGCAAACATGTCAGTGTGTCCCGAAAATCGACGAAAAAAAACATTAACTCAGCATCAAACTATATTGCTATAAATGATATTGTCTAATTTTATATCTCTTTTGAAATTACATCGGAATACCGATATACCGCCCAGCCCTTGCTGGAAGTTCATCAGATTTTGTGTTGAAAATGTTTACATAAACTGTGATCCTGACTGAGTTCATGCTCCTTTTTGTAAATACAGCAACATAGTCCTGTTACTGTCAACAAATATGTTTTTGCTTGATTAATCATTTATAGGTGATAGTAACGGGATGACTGTGTATTTGTGTGTGTGTGTGGTAATTCCTTTATTGGAATGTTTTTAGAGAGTTGCTTTTATTTAACACAACTACTTTTTTTTTTTTTATCACTTAAATTTTATTGAGTCTTTAACAGAAGCAAAGAACAACACAGTGCATCAAAGAAACATTGTTGCCAGGCAGCATTGTAACATGACCTCATTTTCAAATTATTGACATTTGACATTTGAGGGGGGTTCGTACAGCAATACATAATTTGTATTCATATGTCCATGCTTGGTAAAGTAAAAAACAGCGAAAGGAAAGTAAAACCATCTTTCAAAAGTACCGGGCAACTTATCGGGAAAATTATCGTCAACCACACCCCTCATCTACACAGATATCTTCTCCATTTTGACCACCTTGCAATGTATAAATCATTCCTCAATCTCAGTAATAAAGTCAGCCTTTCCATCTCATGGATCTCTTTGATGATTTCGAGCCAGTTCTCTATTGTGGGTGGATCTGTTTGTAACCACTTCCGAGTTATTGCTTTTTTAGCTGCAACAGACATTATCTTCAGGAGATACCTGTCATTTCCTGTCATTTCTTCTGGTAGATCACCCAAATAAAGTGTCATACATGTAAAAGGAATCTCTCCTCCAAGAATATTCGGCATGATTTTGAAAATACAACCCCAAAATAATCGTATTTTTGGGCAGTTCCAAAAGATGTGGTGGTGGTTAGCGTAATCTTCCCCACATTTTCTCCAACAGTTATGGTCTGCAGATGTTAGATATGTCTTCATTTTAGGGGTAGTGAAAAAACGGACAAGATTCTTCCTACAGAATTCACGCCAATACATAGAGCAAGAGGTAGAGAAAGAAGTCTCACACATGTTTTCCCATTGCTGATCGGATATTTTCTCTTTTAGTTCTTTCTCCCATCTCTCCTTAATATAGGATGTAGAAGTTCTTCGACCCTTTGCAATTCCCTGGTAAAGTTTATAAACCACTGATTTAGGACAACCCATGTATGCCTGCATTGTTAGTTGTATTATTTCATTGGATTCTATGACTGTATCTTTTTTCAAAACTTCTTTTAAAGAATATTGCCGTAGTTGTAAATAACTGAAAATATCATGTTTTTCCAATTTGAATTTTTCCTTTAGTGTCTGGAAGCTTTGTAGTGTGTTCTTCTTCATTATGGACAATAAGCAGTAATACCTTTTTTCGACCAGTACTGAAATCTAGAATCTATACTGTTTGGTTTAAACCCTGTATCATATGCTACCCATCTAAGTTTTTTTTATCTGGGGGCCACAAATTTAATTGCTTTACCACATCAAACCAGGTATGCAAGTTGAGTGAGACAAAGGGACTCAAGTGGTCCTGATAAGCCGTTGCTAGTTTATGATCTCCAATCATTGCCTGTATTGGGATGTTTTCACATTCTCTTTCCATCTCCTTCCATTTGACCTCATATCCACTGTCACACAAGAGAACTATAGTTTTTAATTGGGCCGAAAGGTAGTAGTCTTTAAGATTAGGGAGAGACATACCACCCCCCTCCTTACTGGTAGTTAAAGTGCTATATCTAATTCTTGGCTTCTTTCCGTTCCAAATAAACACAACTACTTTTTAAATGTAAGTTACTTTTCTGACAACATTTAATCTGGCTCATGTCATGCTCCAGTGAAATTACACTTGCCTTAATGCTGGGAAAAATATCATGCTATCTGGTTCAGTCTGTAAAGGTTTTATCTAGATATCATTGGCTATGTTGTTGCCATTTGCATCCGTGAATCTGAGGAGATCAAGCCATGCAGAGCCCCCAAGGGTTCAGTTCTCCTATATTCAAAGGTAACTGGAGGAGGAGTAGGGAAGACGCTGACACAGCGGGACGCACTGGGCAAATAATAACCTGTTCAAAACAATGCAGTGACAGGTTTACAGTGATAAGAAATGTGATTTGTCATGATGGCAGAAAATGGGGAAATATCAAATATTCACTCTACAGTGTTGATGTAAACTGATTAGATGTTTGAATTGTTGTGTATTTTGTACAGAGAAACAAACCGACAAAAGATGGAAATGGGAAAACAGACTAATACTGCGAGAATCGTATGAGAGTTTTGACAAACACATCACTCTGAAACCTAACCATCAGTTAAATGTATTATTATATTCCTATATTTCACTAGACTTTCCCATCAGTGCAATTTATTTGAATGCAAATGTGTGTGCTTTAGTGCACCTTTCCATTTGAGGCTGCAAACAGTCCCTGTGAAAAATGAATCTCGGTCTGTCAAATCTAAACACACTGGTCCTAAACCCTCTGCAATCAGATTCTCCTGCTTATCCCCCCAGGGTCATGTGGATAGGTTTATCTCTATATAGCAGGGCGAAACAGTTCTTCGGGGGGCTGTGGTGCACACTGAGACATTACTAACACTGGCACAGTCAGCTCTGTGTCATCGTATAAATCAGAAGTCCTGGCCACAGGTGGCCCATAGATCACACAGTCACACCATGGTGTCAGGCAGAAACAGCGGATGTGCACACCACATGCCTTGCCTCCAAAGAGGAAATCAATCACCTGGAGTGTCTGGGTTGCCAGCACCACCTCCACTTAGCCTCAGTGCCCACTGCACTATGCCACCTACACCACATTAACAGCAGTGAAGGGAGAGACCCTCTTTCTGCATCCATTGTGCTACCAATGAGCACCCATGGTTTCTTATCCCATGGAGGCAGAGCAGACCAATTCAGTGAGTTTGAGTGATAATAAACAATGTTGAACCCTGGCTTAAAAAAAGGATTGGCAGAAGTGGAATGCCTTCAGTTGTTTGAGCTGTATTGTTGGCAGCTATGAATCTCTTTACTGCAGAATAGAGACACTGAGCCTAATGGGCCAAAATTAAAATAGCATATAGTGTGAAAATTTTCCATGCACATTTAGGAAATATATCATCAATAAATCAATGTGCACATTGCAAAACTAAAGGGGGTCTAATTATGTTTCCATCCAATGTGGAGTCTTACACATCTAGGAAAACGTGTTTTGTTGTTCCATTTTATCTCATGGAATTAATGTGCATATTGCTGTTTCTTAAATCATGATGGGCATTTGTTCCCCTTGTGACCTCATCTTCAAAATCACGCTAATCTAGCCCTTACTGGTTTGTACAGTTTAAAGAGAAATGAACATGGTTGAGTCGGCATCCAGTGAATGATGCTGTTGTGATTTTGCACTAAATAAGACTAACCAACAAAAAACCCTCAAGTCCAATGAGCTGTCACACATCTTAAGGTGGTTTCACAATCAATACATATTGATAGGTGTTTCATAATACACTCTGTGCAGACATAAAGACATGACTTTGGGTCTGGCACACCCGATTCAGTTCATCTGTTTTTCCTGCACAACCAATTCTCCTTGCGCTCACTCATAAAAACCCCGTGGGCATGTTTTTCCTCACAAAATATCCACTTATGCTGAAAGTGTATGCGTTGATGTATGGATGGGACAAAAATAAGAGACAATGCATACCCATCTTCCATATGATTTACAGCGCATGGGTTTTCAAACACATTTTTAATTACACTAGGAATTGGATATTACGTCTATAAATGTATTTAATATTTCCTTTTTTGTATATATCAGGACATGGAACAATGTTCAAATAGAGTTTTATAGTGCTTAACTACTGCAGAAATGAGCCGTGTTAGGCAGTTGTATTTTCTTAATAATGATTATATGATACAATTACATGCTACAACATGTTATTAAATTATTTGTTCATTATTTTGGCAGTCTTAGCAACTGTTGAGATATATAAAATAATTTGTAAGGGAATATTAAGCTGGAATTTCTTCATCAACTTCTTTCTTGGGTTATGTTATGCCTCATTCCACTCTGACTTGCATGTAGTATTCTCATTGACCTTACCATAACTTTGCTTGTCCACTGTGTCTCTGGTATTTGTACTGATTGTGTGTGTGCTTGTGTGTACATGTCTCACCTGTATGAGGCGTCCCTGCTCTGTTTGCAGTGTGTTAAGGTCTTGCCCAAGGCTGCCCTGCCCCCTGCGTAAGGATTCATAGTCCATTTTCAGCTGCCCCGCATGGGCTGACAGCTTGGCCACCTCTTCAGCCAGACTGACGAGAAGAGCCCGATCCTGGCCTTTCACTGACTTCAGGTCAGAGTCGTGGTCGGTTAGTGAGTGGAGCAGTGATGTCTGCACACCCTCCAGGCGCAAAAAGTTACTGTTGTAGTCAGGACAGTTAGGGTCGATGAAGATATTGATACGAGATCCATCCCCTCTCTCAACAGTGACCAGAGCATTGGCTTCATCCTGATTGGTGGAAATGTGGGGTAGGCCATCGGACATGGGTGGGGCCTGGTAGTGGTTCATAAAAAGGATGGTGCCAGTTACAGTGACAGCCAGCAATACAGCCACGAAAAGCAGGATAGTGCAAAGCAAGTAGCTGCAGCTCATCCTCTGTAAGTAGAAAGAAAGAAGGGAAGGAATAAGGGAGGGGGGAATAAGAAAGGACGAAAGGAAGAGAAGAAGTAGCTGTTAGGATCACAGTTGCTAGAACACCAAAAATTACAGCATAACACCTGCCTTATTCAAAAACAAATTACTTTCATCCATCACTGGGGATATTTTGAATGCCAGATGCTCAGTACTCAGCGATATAACCATATTCCCATCTGTCAAAATGTAGTTTTGAATGATTTATGTAGCAACATAATGTAGATTCCCGCAGTCTTCTTTAAAAAAAAAAAAATCGAAAGTCCGAACACCCAGTATGTCATTAGAGTAGTGTTGGTGCAGTAGAGAGATGATGCTAGCCTGAGACACTTCAGGGCAAAACATGGTCAAGGCAAAGATGTTCTATCTTTCCACAATGGAAACCATGAAGAGAAGTAAAACAAAAGTCAGACTCAGAGAGCCAATAGAATGTACATGTACAGCAGAGAGTCAGACCTCTACCAGTAACGTAGTCTCCATTAACTGGACTATAAAAGGCCTGTATGATGGCCCTTTATGATCCAGGTAAATTTTTCCACTCAGGTCAAGATAACTAGCAATGGATCAGAGAAAGCAATATGGCCCACCTATGCATATTTAACAATGCCTAGCTCCCCATATCGTCCTCCAAATGAATCAGCAACTGATCTCTTACTGATTTTAATTTTCTACACAGGCGGATGTTTTCTCTCTGAGAATATGTGGGCAGGTGTGTGTGTGTGTGTGTTTGTTTTCTGTATGTGAAAGTGTGAGTGACTGCAAGCTCATTAATATGTGAATTGGAAAAGTGAGGCACACTAATAGACAGCTAATCGTCCGCTTTAAGAGAGAGGTTTATGGTTTCTTTAATGTGAAGAAAATCAATTGTGTCGTCCAGAAAAAACTCCTATTTATGTGTTTACCCACAGTCTTTGGGTAGAAGAAATAAAAAAAAGTTGTAATTCCCCCCGACAACTTGGCCATGTGGGGACAGAAATGTGGGCTCTGTGGACAACAAGTGTGCACGGGATACACTATATGGAAACCTTGTTATTAGCCAATAAAGTGTTGGTCTGTTCACACATAAATGGTCCTATTTTAAGTCTGAGGATGATTTCTAATATGGACCTCAGTTGTACCCCTCCTTGGTCCAATTATGGGCCCAAGTAAATGCACACAAATGCACACATGGTGAACAAAAAAGTAAATGAATCTGGACGATTGCATTTAAAAAAGCTTAAAATGTTTGTATGGGTAATATCTGAGAAGATGAGCTTTTTCACCAGTCTAAACAAAGCCCCACGAATACATCACTCATTTATTTTTGAGAGGGTGATTGGAAAATTACTACTTTCGTCACATGTTTCTGCTTTGTTGATTTTTCCTCCTGAAATATAAAAAGCCCTTTGGCTTGGATCTGCTGAGTACATTGATTAAATTAATGCAGTATTGTTTTTTCTGCAGGAGCCAACTTTAATGTGGCCAATGTTTTCTGGACACCGCTGGCATGTATGGAAGCACTGTCACTGCAAACTGCCTCTAGGCTCTATTTGTCCAAATGGGTTGGAAGATGTGTACAAATGTATGCACACACACACACACACACACACACACACACACACACACACACACACAATTTATACATAAATACACAAACGTACTGCATGCAGATGCTAGATGAAAAACATGCACTAATGCCACATCCATTTTTGATGCATATACACACGCACATACATTTCCCCATAGTCCTCTCTGCCAAACACTTGCAACAGACAGGCAAGCACATGCACATATTACACATGAAAGAAATGGAGCATTGCTTTGTCACCATCTCCCCACTTCTTCCTGTTTTTACACCCAAATACATCATCACAGAAAAGAGCTCCAGGGAGTATTGCCTCACGTAACACTTTTTGTCTCTTTGCTCTAACTCAACATGTAGACCCTGCCTGCACTATAAAATCTCTCTTTGCATGTCAAACTGTGTTTTTAGTTTTGTTTGACATTTGTGTGTTTGAGTGCAGGTGCAGCTGAGTGATTGTGACTGTGTGACTGGGCTTGGTTGTGCATGTGTGTGTGTATGTGTGGCAGGGTGTCTGTATTGTACACAATGTATACGGCCTAATGGTGTGAAATGGCAGCAATGTAACATTAGCACAGTTTCACTGAGCTCTATCGCCAGCGGGCCAGGACATCAGTGGAAGCCATCATTGGCACCGCACTAAATATTCATTGCTAGCATACTGACTGTTAAATTAACATGGAAAAGATATATGGTGGCCCCCCTTTTGCTGACATGGAGATGCACGCAGAACTTGGAGACATCTACACACTCAAAGATTCCCATACAGGAGCAGTGCATTTTTGTAATGAAAATTTTCACAGATATACCATACCATGTTCTCAGATGTTAATCTTTTAAGACACAAGGTTTAAAACAGTTTCTGATAGTTTAAGATATCTTGCACTGACAATTCAGCCTGAAGGTAAGTGATGTCAGTTCAGGCAGCACATTGATTGTGGCACCTGGGTGGCACACGGGAAAAAGCATGTGGCTAAAAAATTATTATTAAACTATTTCTAAAATCTTATTGAATTATTCCTGTTGTTTACAGTAACATTTTGGTCACTTGGGTACGTGTGAAGGTAAAAATGCTAGGGGTACAAAAATTGACAATTTCAAGAAATGTTACAATAATCGAACATAGCGTTAGTTCATGCAGGCAACAAAGTCAAGCTCAGCTCACAATCACAGCACATCAGCTGATAGCTGCCCATGTCAAAGTCAGCCCACATCAGCTAACAGCTCAGCTGATTTCCCTCTAAGCATTCATTGGCAAAAACATACAAGGCACCTTATTTAAGCTGTTATAGTCTGCCTACCCTTGCTGCTTTCTCTGCATGCCGCTAGTAACCCACCACCATCCCAGCTCCTCCTTCCAGACTATTCCTGACCAATCAATGTCATTTCTGTTGTTGTTGATGCTGCTCTTTTCTGTACCCTTGGGCGGTTTTTGCTGCTGCTCTCTCTGCCTGGGGCTTTCTATGTGGTGGTTTCCATGGATGGGCGGGGAGGTGCTCTCCCTGCTTTATGGTTTTCCATGTAGGCACATGGATTGGCAGGGGGGTCTCAGAACAGAGCTATACTGCCAAACACAACTTCTGCAGAGCAAATAAAGTTCTTTGGTAAATCTGAAATGTAATTGTATGACGGAACTGGTCCAGCTTCAAGTTGGATACAATTCTACTTTTATAAGAGGTCAGACTGACAGAGAGTCAGAGAAACTGTACTGAATGAAGAAAAGGTCAGCATGACAATGAGAATGGGAGGTTTTGCTCCTGTTGCAGGCTGTTTATTTGATTGCCAAAAAGAATAAAACACAACAGCAGTCTGCTTCATGCACCAACACAATACATGACCTCTCAAGTCAGCTCAAGAGGTGTAGTGGGGTAATGATGCTGAGAAAGGGATGCAGACAACCTCTTAACACACTTGTTTTTGTAAATGAGTCTCTCGATCTCACAGTAGGATCCCAATCTGTAATTAGTGGCTGACTTTCAGATCCTCTCCTGTCTCTACAAATGCCACACTATGGGATTTGAGAGGACAACAGGGGAATTCTGATGGAGAGGCAGAGAATGAAAGAGAATTCCACTCCATGAAAATGATGTTGTCCTCCCACGCAGAAGTATTGGCAGACAGCTCTTGGACGAAAGGCTTTGTCTGCTCATTAGATAAGCAGGAAACCAGCAGGTGTCTTGGAAGCTCTCTCTCTCTCTCTCTCTCTCTCTCTCTCTCTCTCTATTCTCCTTCTCAAACACAAATATACATATGTATACTATACAGTTTATACACACACACACACACACACACACACACACAGACACACACACACATAATATTATGATTACAGCCTTGATGTATTCACAGGAAGAATTTCATGTTGATACTACCCAATTAACTTACATAGAAAGGAATGAACATCCTTAAATGCTGAATTAGCACACATATGCATAGCAACTCACAATATTAAAATGAGGGATTTTCAACCATTCCACTTCCATTTATTCACCTGCAGCTTAAATAACACTTTCACCTCAGTGTTCAATACAACGCTTCTTCCCAAATTCTGCCATGCAATCAAGCTCCTTTGCCTGGCACAGCCATGATCAGTACTCTCAGTTCAAAGAATCTGCAGGGCCTAATCCTTTCGAATTCTTGTGTGTTTGGGTACTTGAGCTGAGGTTGTGCCATCGCTGCTGCTCGGTGGCAAAATGTAATGTGTGCAATAATCTGCCGCACTGTCATCACCAAAGCATTGAAAAAGTGGATTGTGATTAAAATCGCTGTCAGTGACACCTAATCCCCTGCGCAGGTGAGCAAGTCACTATTCTATAGTGTGCCCCTGTTTTTGGTTGGTGGAATATATATACAAGAGGACATACAGTACAGTATATAAATTAAGTAATAAAAGGATTTCCATTAATCCACTTTACTTACTATCCTGTGCAAAGTTTGCTGGAACCTATACCGACCTATAATATATAGTTTAACTGTTCCAGGAAAATCTTATTCAAACTCTGATTTAGAGCAGAAACAGTTAAATAATTAATCAACTGGACAATCAACCAAAAACTTTTTTTTATTTTCAAGACATTATGGCAATATTCACTGATTTTTTTTGTTGTTGTCAAGGCTATTAAATTGAATATCTTCATCTTCAATATCTTCTGCCTTTGTGAAAACAAGATGAACATTTCATTTTATAGATTATTAAATTTATTGAGAAAAAATTATCGGCAGATTAATTGCCAATGAAATGTTAGTTGCAGCTCTAAAGGTTACTAATGGGGTATAATTTGATGAACAGTACGCTCTGTCAGAAGAAAAAGATATGTTCAAAATGATAATAATTTTTGTTTTAAATAAATTGTTAACAGTGTTTTAACATCATCACACATTTATTACAAAAAGAAACAAAAGCATGTGTTGGTGCCTGCATGCACGTGTATTTGCCTGCGTGTGCATGTATACGGTACATTGTGGTGACAGGGCCTTACCTTGGCCGGGGTCTCCCTGGCAGTTTCTGAGTCTGACCAGCGATGTTTGAGCTGGGAGGAGCTGGGCACACACTCACAGAACGTCTGCATGGGACAAACAGACAGGGCCACCAGTGTTGGCGTTTGTTCAAGTCACATGTGCAATCAAGCATGCAAGCACATGCGGACACACGCATGAACAAATACGCACAGAGAGACAAAACTTTGGATCTGTACTAAAACAACTGAAAAATTAAGTACTGGGCACAGCAAATTTTCTAAGCCAAACCCTCAAATCAAATTTAAAGTCACTGTTTTGAGATAAATGGTGCTGGTGCTGATAAACTCCACCACCTACGCACCCAACTGCACACTGACATAGACAGATATGAACAGGCATCTGTACATCTCAAAGGTATCACTGAGTTGAATTGTTTATGACAAGCACAATGTGTCTTGCCAGTGATTTCTTTGCAAGACCCTCAGTACACAAAGTTTTCTCCTATTCTAAATAAAAACAAAACGTATAAAAAAGAGTATGTCATTGAATGTGAGTGGGTACAGCATGTGTGTAGAAGAAAACATTCACATACGTGGGTGTTTGTATACAATATCTGAACATAACATGCTTCACTATATGTGCCTCGCTGTGTGCATGTCTGGGAGTAGTTCTAGCTACTGCACAGATAAAAGCGAAGTAATTATCAAAGTGGGGGCTTTCAAACTGCTCCAGGAGAGCACATCGTTACGTGACCTTAAACACCGCTGCTCCCACTGTGAAATTGCTCAATTAGCCTGGGACAACACATGTGGGGACACACGGGCACTCAACTCCCTACTTGAGAACGGATGCAGCAAACATTAGCAATTAATATATTAGAATGTGTTCTCTATCCGAGCTTGGAGTCATAAGGCTGTGTGTGTGAATGTAAGTGGCTGGGACTAAATATGTTAATTACACTTGTTATAAGACTGTACATTTTAACCACTAGGGGGCAGAAAAACATCAAAACAAGTTTACTTTGACAATGACTAACATCGATTTGCAAAGATTTTAGCAAACGTATACCTACTTTCACGTCCAGAAGACATAGAACAACTTAAGCATTCATTTTGGAGTCATGTTTACTTCTACCTACCAACGAAATGTTAAGTTCATATCCACTTTAACAATGTTTCAGAAAAAATATCTGTCTCTTTTGCTGGTAAGTGCTCAACTTTCTTTGCCCTGTAGTATACAATGAGTTTATTAGAGCTTTTTTGTACTTGGAAACGGCTGCCAACGGGGGGGGCTAATGAGAACTGCTCACAGTAATTGAATGGATCTTAACAAAAAATACATGTTTAAATGGGTTTAAAAGCTTCTTGGAGCTATAGAGTTGGATGATGATTCTCTTTGATTTCAGCAGGCGTGAGTGACCGCTTTTACATTGGAACCATTTCATTACATGTTGGTACACACCGGCATGTGTGCACACACGCGTGGTTGTCTTTTGTGTTTTGTGTGTTTTGTCAGTTGTCAGTGAGTGTAAATTGCTGTGTATGCACCTCACACAGTCATTGTTATGATGGTTGACCAATAGTTCAACCTTTTGCTCTAAGCATTCTCTTCCAATGTGTAAGACAGCAAGAGAGGGAAAAAAAGAATGCAGCAAGGGAGAAAAATGTACGGGGGTGGGGGTGGATAAGGTGGAGGAAGATTTGGGCGAGGTGTTCTGAATTCTAATGAGCAGCCTTAGGGTCAGCGATAGAAATCTATGTCTGTTCTGCCTAAAACATTGCAGCTGTCTGTGCTTGCAGTACACAGAAGCTACAGAGCTACCATTACTAAATAAACACAGAACACCCCACAGTGATGTGGCTCAACAAACTTACAAGTCAGCTACACAGTAAAGTAAATTGGAATAAATTTGCATGTTAATAACCCACTAATAAAAATTGGTGCGCTTTCTATGATGCTGCACAAGTTGCCAGGTTTCCATGTGTACCAATACATATATCGACACGAAGGTATACTCCCGCTCCATTGCAGGCAGGCCAAGGGATTAAAAAACATACACGCACACTTAAATATGAAGACATTCACACAGAACAAAGGTTGTGTGTTACAGCTGCAACCCACTCAGATCCCTGACCGTCTTCCCATTAGACTGAGCAGCACGTATCACAGCTTTAGTTTGTTCATCCCTCTGCCTGCTAATGCTCACATTGGGGTTCTTTGCTGCCTGTGCACACAAACACACACGCACACACCCACGGTGACATGCCAATATCTGTGGGGCTTCTTGTTGGCAGTGGTCCCGATGCGGGCATGACTGCTTGGCAGTGTTTGTCTAGTCCTAATCTGACTCCACAAGTTCCACCAGCGGAGAGGATTTACACTTAATAGAATATTTGGGCTTTTTATTGGTTGGACCTTACACGCAGAATCCTATCTGATGAGTCACGTCTTAGAAGACAGAAAGGGCTCAGACTTATCCTGGGTGTGACCGAATGTGTACGTGTGCTCTTTTTGAATGAGTGTATCTACGTGTTTGCATGAGCGCATGTGAAGTCTTCAAGGCAAGCATCCCGGCACTTTCTAAGAATATTTGGATTGTTTGATTGTGTTGTTCTTGGAATGTATTTGCTCACTTTGCTGAATACCTTTATGTGAATGTTCACGTGTGTGCGTGTGTTTGTGTGTGTGTGTGTGTGTGTGTGTGTGTGTGTGTGCGTGTGTGTGTGTGACAGGGACTTATGCAAGGTGTGTTTAAACCTACTGCTCACTGAGCCGATGAAGTGGAAGAGGCTTTGCATATATTCACTGGTGGGCTTACTGATCATTTAACAGGACTTGCAGGCTGCTAAATGACGTGACTGAAACTGACAGAATGATGGAAAAAGGAGTGAACAGGGGCAACAGGAAGAAGAATAAGAAGCACAAGGCCATTGTATCATATTTTGAAGGCATGCACAGTTCATCAGTGTTACATTTAAGAGATTATCTTGTTAAGTGTATGTCGCCTGTACACATTCCTATGCTTTCTCAAAGCCACTACGATAGAGAGGGGTTAACAGTGAATGAATGAATGGATGGATGAATGGATAGAGACAATGTGACATTCTGATGAGGATTTCCCACCTGCCATTAGAAAATAAGAAGCCATTGAGATAAATGATGGAACATCTTTAAATTCACTGGGTGCTTTATCTTACCCTGACACTGTAACAAGATTACTCACACAGACACCTGAACCCATGAGTACAAATATTTAGATGGAAATATAAAAAGTACCCAACAGTAAGTTCGTGGATAACTAAGGACTACATAGCAAGCAAGATGTGGCTGTTTGAAAGTGAGTGCTAATGTTAATGTTCCTTGAATCTGACAATTAAAAATCTTTTTTTGTGGACTCTGGTACATTATTCATAAACTAATGAACTACTATATAATGACCTAATAAATTCTAAATTAATGAGCATTCCCAATAAAAATTCAGTACTTGTAAGTGAGTCGCATGATGTGCTACAACACTAGAGGGGATACAAAATAGTAGCTAATGTGAACTGTATGTGATCAAGAAATAATAATTTGTTATTGGTCATGTGCTATTTAGCAGCTGGGTTCATTTAGGAGGTATGCGGATTCACAGATATTTAGAAACTGTATCTAGAAACTCGTTAGATACTGGATCATTAACATAACGCTGTTCTCTAGTAACTTGTCATTACCTTCAATATAGTTTTTAATTCAGAATTATCCAAGCTTCTTATGTGTTATTTATTAATTAACATTTCATCCCTGTTGTGTTTCATGCTTGATAATTAGTCAAGATTTTAACCATTTAGCCAAAATTTTGTAAACCATACTATGTTGCTAAAGAGCATGACTGAGACTGTTTAAATAGTGGAGGACGGGTGGGTGATTGTTTCAACACTGAAATTCCAGCTTTGACCCGATCTCATACTAGTGGCCACCATTAACATATCTCTCATTTACCCATGATCACAATATTTCCCTAACATTACCAAAAGAAAAAGGAACAACCGTTACCTACGAATATAATTTGCAGTAGAAATAGTTTGAAAACAATTCAGCATTTAACTGGCAAAGCAGACATGTAGGACCACGCAGTTTAGACATATTTATATTGCAACCTTCACCACCTGCTTCATTAAACAAAATGGATTTCAAAAAACAGTGGCCAACAGAAGCTTGTTGCATGGACTGCTGAATATGATGAGAAAGGTATTTACTTTGTCAGCGTCTATATTCTGTTTTGCAGACCACAGCAATTTGGGTCTGGATTTTGTAGAGGACACACTGCCATTGTGGATGTGATGGGCAGTATAGCAGCTTCCACAGACTTCAAAGGGACTATTCCCTGCACAGCTGATGGCCAATGACAGTGCTGGACACTCTGTTGGATTACTTGGCCACTGGCACATAAATAATGGTTATACAGGAGGGACACTGCTATGATTTGGTAACAAAGAATTTTGTATTTGGTATGAAGTAAGTGAAGTAATATGAGGCATCCTATAATGGCAGATCCACCGGCCTATTTTCCATGCCTTCTGTCCAAATTATATTTATATTTACTTTTCAGTTGTTTTTTGGCTAAAAAGTGTGAATAACTAGGGAAGAGTTGTCCATGAGTGTTTTAATGAGGCCATTTTGTCAGTTTCTACATTCAGAGAATTTCTCCTCCTTTACTGATTGGTTACATCTGCTGTAGGAGCTATTTCTGAGCTGGAAACAAATATTCTTTCATGGATTTTATCAAGACTGCCCTCTGGCCAAAAGAAAGCAAATAAACACATCTAAACATGCCACAATTAGAACAGTCAGTAAAGAACCCTTCATTGGAGAGATATGCATTAAGTGAGGTGATGCTTACTGTTGGTGTTTTGTATACAGGATACTATGTGTACATTTACATTTATCATTTAGCTGACGCTTTTATCCAAAGCGACTTACAATTGCTATACATGTCAGAGGTTGCACGCCTCTGGAGCAATTAGGGGTTAAGTGTCTTGCTCAGGGACACAATGGTGGATGGGTCACAAAGGGGGATAGGGGACCGGGTCTCTCACACCAAAGGCATTATCCATTGCACCA